ATATTTTCATTTCTAAAATGTACTCATTTCCTTTACATGATGTTGATTGTATAACTGAACCTGAAGCAGGTCACAACCCATGAACATTTTTGATGAGGGTTCAGGTCATAGTTTTTAAATTTTATGACTAAACAATGAGAGAATTTTTTTTTTAAATGACATATTATATAACATTGAAAAAAACTGAGGCCATTGCTTTTCCATGGCAACATAAAAGAAGCGTTAACAAAGCTTTTGTATTGGATGTCATTACGCTGTGCAGGTGTTCCTAATGATGTGTCCAGTTGTGGCCCCGCGGTGCTGATGAAGGCGTTGCGGACATCCTGGCACAGCTGATAGATTTCCTCGTCGGTGGGGGTGCGGTCTAATACTTTTTCTCCTGATGTCGCCCCCCGCCCTCTGCCGCCCGCCGGCGTCTGCGGATGACCGAAAGCGGGCGAGCCTTTCCAGCTGCTGTCGGGGGTGGGGCGGCTAAATGAGGGCAGCAGGCGAGCGTTGATGACGGCGCCATCGCCCGTCATAAGTCGTTGCGTGTCCTTGTGCGTCACCTCCTCAGGAGGCGGAGGAGCGAGCTGATGGCTGACGCGAACAACCTGGTCGCTGCCGTGTGGGCCCCTTGTGGGGCCCCCTTGCTTCATTGTGGTCTGTAACTCCCCCCGGATCCTGGCCACAGGGACCGGGGATTGGGCGGCAAAGCCCGAGGAAATCAGACCCGCCCCGACCCTGGCCAAGTAGTCCCCGCGAGGGATGTGCGGCGCCACCGTGTCGGTGCCGACTTGAATCCCGACATCTGCCCACGTCTGCGAGTGACCGTCTCTCAGTCGCGGCCCTTCGGGTTCGCCCGCCTCCTCGTCCAGCCAGCGCAGCTTCTTGGAGGCGTTCTTGTATTCGGCAGCCTTGGACCTGGCTTTGGCCACTTCGATGCTGTCACACACCAAAAATTGAACGGGTTTGGTGGCGTTGGCGTGAGTCTGCGGCGAATCTGCTGGCGTTTCGCCGGGCACAGTTTTAAGGATGCCTTTCGTGAACTGGACTCTGCAGGCCGCGGGCGATGAGGCCTTTGACCCGCTGGATTCTTGGCTCATGTGGCACTTTGGGCTTCCCGTATTCATGTGCTTCCACACACTGACGTCGGCTGAGAACTTGTTGAGGTTATTCACAGAGGCGCAGGTTTCCTTCTGGGTGGGCAGGTTGTAGTTGAGGTCCGCGGGGAGCCTGTGAATGTGCGGCTTGACGGCGACGAGGGTGGGCACTGACAACGGAGGACGCGTGTCGTTGGGGCATTTGAGATCTTGGACGGGATTTTCCGAGTAGTGCAAGACGGCGCTCTTGAAGGGTTCCTCGTTCTCCAGGCTGTCCTGACTGGACAAACTGTCGGACTTGGAGCAACAGGAGACGTTGTCGTCCTGAAATGTGGAAGGACAACGTGATGAGTGGCATATATTCACTCTTTGAGCACCGTTGACTTGAAACGTCATCAACGGGAATCGTAACAAGGAGGGCCAGTGATGGAAATGGTCATACGTTTTTTTATGGAAATGGTCACGGCAAAGTCTGGGACAGCTCTTGTTTGATCATGAAGAAGGGAAAGTTTAAAAAAAAATAAATAATGGCCAGCAGATGGCAGCATTTGGGTCACTTTTGGATTAGATGACAGTGTGTCACTGAATGCGGAAATTCGACTGTGACAAGCAGCTTGTTTGACATCTTAAATTTATAACAAAGAGTGCCATATGACAGAGCTTATTTAAATGTTCTACTGGCGATTACAAAAAAAAAATGGAATAAGGTAGGAACAAATTTTGGGGGACGGATGGACACAAGGTATCCTGCAGGCAGATGTACAACCCTGAGAAAAAGGCTGCATTGCTTCCCATTGCCAAGAGATGGAGACATTTATTCAGTCTATTGAGGAATATTGTTGACAAGAAACCAAAAACAAAAATAACACTCTCGACAAAGACTTTTTTTTTTTTTTTTTTAATGAAAGCTGGCAATTTGAGCAGGAAAGGTTTCTGTTGGAGAGCCCAACTCTGGAACGTACCTGTCCACTGTGCTCCAGTTGCTTCTCTTGCCTCTTTGGAATCTCCTCCTGCCTCTTTGGAATCTCCTGCCACGTCCTGACACAAGGGCTCTGCTCCTGATGACCCGCACACGTCTGCGCCAGAGTGGGCGTGGGGCGAAGCGGGGATTCTGACAACGCGGTGGCGGCTTTGGAAGTAGGGACGCTGCTTGTTTGACTGAGGACATAAACAGACAAGTGGACAGCTAGTTGCACTGTAGCGTGAACCACCATTTTTTACATTCTCATTTTATTCTCATTGTCAATTTTATGATGTAAACCTGCACAATCGAATGAGATCCAAACCTGCAAAGGTAACAATGCCCAATTTTGGACGGCGGTCAGTGTGTTTGTTTCTTTGGTCAGCTCAATCTGACACAGTTGCTACATTTTAGTAAATATTGAGCAGTCACAGAAATAAACTTTTTTCATGTGGCTTAATTTCTGAACCAAAACGGTTTTGGATTGTGACTACAAACGAATGTAGGGTTTTTTTTTGTTAGCTGCAGGTGTATTCATCAACATTATAATAAAAACGAAAACAATACAAAATACATCACACAATGTAGCTTTTAGGGGGGGCGTGGCCTACTTAGTAATATCTGAAGCGCTGACTCAAGCTCAGGTTGATCATTTTGTCTTCTCCTTGCGCTTTGCGAGTGTTGTCATTTTGTATTCACGCGTTTGGTTAATTGCCCGTCCAATAAAATGCTAAACGAGCATCATGAGTGTAGCTTTACTGTTTTTTTTTTTTCACTAGCTCCTTGAAAGTGCTGTCATTTTGTATTTGTGCGTTTGGCTGTTTATTCAGTTTCCAAAAATAATTAGAAGAAATAAATAAAAAAATAAATAAACGATTGAAAGTGTATATGGGAGTGTGGCTCTCTCTTTTTTCTTTTTTTTTGTCTCTTCAACTCAAGCGGTGGTGTAGCAAGTCAAATTTTGTGTCATAACGCAAGGAAAAAAAAATCGGCCAAGTACCGGCAAAACTCAGAATTTAGGACAGTTGTAAGTCGAGGTACCACTGTACCGATTACAATTTGATAGACAGTGTTACCTGTTGACGTTAGCTGCCAGTCTGGGGCCCCTGATTTGACTGAGGGCATCGTCCAAATGTGGACAATCTCTTTCCAAAGCGAGGCGCTCGCATTGGGTCGGCCTGTGAGAGGGAGGCATGTAAGCCCTCTGGAACTGCTCAGTGGCATCATGGATCTTCTGCCGGCGCTGCTGCAGGACTTCTTCACGCCGCCGTTGCTCCTGCAGTACCCACAACCTCTGTTTCTCCCTCAGATCCCTGACGCAGCCAGAAACAAGAAACTGAGACTCACCACATTAGGTCGTTCCACACTTTTGATTTGACACTACCAATAAGGACACATCATTTTTCTTGAATGGCGAAATGGACGCCAGTCGAACTTTTGCAGGTGTGAAATTTTCCAGTCATGTACTCTGCAGTATAAAGGTTGAGTGTAGGTAACAAAAGGAGATGATAGCCTGGTATTCTACCTGCATCTGCGGTTAGTCTCCTGCACACATCTGCGAGCTCGCTCTCGGTTCACCTTCTGCTCCTCAACCAGAGCGTCTCTCTCCTGCCGGAGGCTCGACATCACTCATCTCTGTGTGGGGGACAGAAAACCTCAAGTCTATCAGTCATTTGGGAGCAGAAATATTCCTGCTGCTGCCACTCATAAATGTGATCAAACGTGCAATGGCAGCTAGCCATTGTATACTAGCTTCGTAATAGTTGACGTGACGTCGGAGATTTTCTTTAAAAGAAAACAAAAACCCTTCCAGCTGTGCAATGTTCTCCTGTATACCTCCATCCTTGCTGCAGAGCCTTGACGTTTATGATGTCACGGTGATGTATAATGTGGAGCCCCTTAAGCTTGCGTTGTGCTGAATATGTCGATTAGAAACTAAGTTAGGTAAACCCAATTAGATAAAATGGTGGCGAACTCATACGTCAGTTTTAGCTTCGTTTGCTAACAGGTCGCTAACGATAAAAGTTCTTATTCATACGCCCGCTAAAATGTTGTCGCACCCATCAAAATGACGTCAATGTTGTTGGCTACCGTCTCCGGTGACTTGTGTTTGACTTATTCAACGACGTTAGTGGAAAAAGGGAGCGCTCACCTGTCTGTTTGTGAACGGGGCAGTCATCATTAGACGACTCAGGACGCATTTCCTTGACAACGGTTATTGTGTGCGTACCAAAAATTGGCCCGCAGAGGCCGCTTCACACGTGAAAGATAGATGCTTTTTTTTTTTTGGTTTTGTTTGTTTTTGTTTTTGTTTTTAAGCCGGAGGTAGCATTTTATGAACTTATATAGTAGCAAGAGATATTGCGTGAAAGAGATTCATAATTTGACTGTGCACTCTGATAGGTCACACCTGCATCGTGCCATCCCAAGTGTGACCTCACACAAAACTGAGCGTGGTGACCACAACCTCGTGGACACTCGAGCAGGCGGGCAAACCGGAGGCTGACAGGATACAGAGACAACCTTGATTTTGTTATTTTAGTGAGATCCTCAGTGAGACTGATGGAAAAGTCACAGACAGATCTGACTTCCTTTGAGGTGGGTGGAAATTTAAGGATCATTACATCATTTTATTCATATTTCCCCCAAAATGGGTTTGGTGATGCTGGCGTGCATGCTTATTACTCATGATTTGCTACCGTTTTTGTTGTATTGAAAAGAGCAAGCCCATGCTGTGTCATAATAATGACTGCACTCTTGAATATGTTATCTTCTCATGTCACTGAACAATGTTAAAACCTTAGAAACACTTCTTGGCAATATGGAATAAATACTCCAAAAAAAGCAGAGTATATTACTTAATTTTTAAGTAAGATTATCTGCCAATAGAACATCACCTTAAAAGTAGTGTGTTTGGACAAAAAAATGTACCAACAAAAGGAACGTGTTTCTTTTTCATTTTGATTTTATTTCATCTTGGTCAGGTTTACATTTTTGCACAAGACTCCACTGCAAACTGCAACCACCATAACAAACGAATGGGTCAAATTAATACAGCTTGAACAGCGTCAATGAGTATCCTTGTTTGCATGTGGAGCTGTACCTAATTATGTGGCCCATGACTGCACACCCGCTCATGTCAAATCCTCATGAGCTAATCCTATCCGACAATACTTAGAATTGGATGAAAGGAGAAGTCTCGCTTAGTCATCGTAAGCTGCAGCAATTACCGGCTGCCATCAGGCCATCACTCAAATTAAATCAGTGACGAGATTTACTCGGTTTGGTGATTCACTTTTAAACGATGGCCTCTCCCGAACACCATATGTTGATCTCCGAGGGACTCTCACATGTAAACCCGTCGAGGGTTGCTAATAAAAAGCTTGGCGACATGCTGCGAGTGTCCTCCCTGGGCTCGGCCTCCTTCAAGGCTGAGCTTGAGGGTGTCAAGGAGGCCAGATGATGAGTCTGTGGGTGGTGTCCTTCGTGGGGAGAGAGTAATAACTCGGCTCTGCAGACTTGTCACTTCTTCGAAGCTCTCCGCAGGATATATGGACAGTTGGGTTGGTGAAAATAAATTAACCTTTGCTGCCCATGCGCGTGACAAAAAAAAATAAAAAATACAAATAAGTGCCGTTACACAACAAGAAATGGCTCAAGAGTCTCCCATATGTTCTCCTGTGTTCAGATGACGTCATAGCAAATTGGCAGATGACAGCCAAACTGTCAGGATCGGCATCATGGAAGGCTGCCGCCCTCTTCCATCACCATCCCGGGGCTCCAGCCTCTCCCTGACCGAAGAATCTTTTTTAGAGGCCGTCGTGTGCGGCAACGTTCCCGAAGTAAAGCGCTTGCTGGATGAGCTTCCGGACATTAACATCAATAGCGTCAATTTCACAGGCCAGAACGCTTTGCAACTGGCTGTGGCCAACGAGCGTTTGGAGATCACTAAATTGCTCCTGGAGAGGAAAGAGCTGACCAGGATGGGCGACGCATTGCTTTTAGCCATTCGGAAAGGTTACGTGCACATCGCGGAGGCCATCCTGAGCCATCGGGCCTTTGCGGACGTTCAGAGGTTGACGTCCAGCCCCAGTCAGGTGGACGTACATCGAGACCTCTTTGCTTATGACGAGAACGGCAGCCTTTTCTCCAATGACATCACACCCATCATCTTGGCCTCCCAGTGCCAAGACTACGAGATAGTGCGCTTGCTTCTCGCCAGGGGGGCCCGTATCCAGCGGCCCCATGACTACTTCTGCTGGTGCGGCGCCTGCAGCCAGCAGCAGGCCGACGACTCCTTCAGACACTCGCAGTCCCGCATCGACGCCTACAAAGGTCTCGCCAGTCCGGCCTACTTATCGCTTTCAAATGAAGACCCCGTGATGGCGGCCCTGGAGCTGAGCCACGAGCTGGCAGTCTTGGCGAGCACCGAGATGGAGTTCAAGGTAAATATACAGAGGACATGACATGTCATCTTCAATGAGTTCAGTTGGTCTCAAGTCAAGGAATGTTTAAGAGCTTGTCCTGTAGAAGGTTTCGACACATCGTCCACTCCCAGGGCCAAGAAACTAAAGGCCTGAGTACCAGTTCCTAAACATCTTCAGGGTGCTTTAAATCTGTCCATTGGTTCATGTCAAACTATAAAAGTTAGCAGACTTAAATTCTGAAATGAGACCAGTGCACCATGCTGACCTGTGTTTTCCATTCCCTTGCACCAGAACGACTATAAGATCCTGTCCATGCAGTGCAAAGACTTCATGGTGGGCCTCTTGGACTTGTGTCAGAACACGGAGGAAGTGGAGGCCATCTTGCACGGTGACTCGCTCGAGAGTGCGCAAAATCTGGCCAGGTTAAAACTTGCCATCAAGTATGAAGTTAAGAAGGTGAGTTCTTGACAAAAAAAAAAAAAAAAAACTCTAAACAAACAAAAAAGACTCCCTGTCTTTATATATTCTCGCTCCTGTAGTGAGTACTTCTTCTGTGCCTGTCTGTCAGTTTGTGGCTCATCCCAATTGCCAGCAACAGCTACTCTCCATCTGGTATCAGAACGTTTCCGGACTACGTCAACGGACTCTGGCAGTTAAGATTCTCCTGGTCCTCGGGGTCGCGGTTGGCTTGCCCTTTCTAGCCCTCGTGTCCTGGATTGCACCATCCAGTAAGGTCAGCCATCAGAGAATCTTGTGTCGGGTCTTGAGGGTGATACCCGCAACGATTTTGCCTTTGTACCCTTCAAGACGTTTACAATTTGGAAACATTTACTGTATGTACCATTTTGGACCCACAAAAAGTGCACAATCTTTAATTTGAAGGTACAACAGTTAGCTCTGCATTAGCATGTACAAAGTAAGGACTTATCGACCTGGGTCTTACAAACCTACTCCTAACTACCAACCTACCGAAAATGGATTCCAACTGTTGCCCCATTTCTGGTGTTCCATCCAAAATGATCCTGTTCCTGCCTGTTTCCCTCATTCCATTAGTTAGGGAAGCTGATGTGTGGCCCTTTCCTGAAGTTTGTGGCCCACGCCGCCTCCTTTGTGACATTCCTGTGCCTCCTGGTCCTGAACACAGCCGACCGCTTCAACGGTCCACCGCTTATGCCCAACGTGACGGTCCATGATCGGCCCTCGCAGCTCTTCCGCATGAAGATAACGCCCTTCACCTGGATGGAGATTCTCATCATGTCCTGGGTGCTAGGTTATGTGTTTTCCTACCGATCGATCAACATACCAACCTCCTCGTCCAGTGAACAGTTGGTAGTCGCGTCCAGTAAGACGTCAATGTTGACAGGGTGATGGTTTTCTGTGTTTACAGGGAAAATTTGGAAAGAATGCAATGACATTTGGTCGCAGGACATCAGAGAATATATCTCAGAGCCGTGGAACCTTCTGGACTTCAACATTTTGGCCGTCTTCACCGGCTCGTTCATTGCACGGCTGATGGCGTTCTGGCACGTGTACGCCGCTCAGCGCTACGTGGACCAGCACCACGCAAACCTGTCCTGCGCCTCCTTGCCCGCGGACGTTCAGTATTTTCAGCTCGGTAAGTCAGAGTAGAAGTCCTCTTGTCATCCACATGAGTTTGGTTTTACAGCATCAGGCGTAGCTTTTCATCGGTTTCTTGTCAGTACTGTCTTCATAAGAATTCTCAATTCTTCAGATTTTGAAGGAACCACCTGATCTTTCAAAATATGCCAAATTCAACTGATTGCTTTTGATTGATTCAGCTTCACTGCATTGTTGTGTTTTACACTTGCAGCCCGAGTCAAGTGGCTTCCTTCCGATCCACAGCTCATTTCCGAGGGCTTGTACGCCATCGCAGTGGTGCTCAGCTTCTGCCGCATCGCTTATGTGCTGCCAGCCAACGAGAGCTTTGGCCCGTTGCAGATCTCGCTCGGTAGGACGGTGAAGGACATCTTCAAGTTCCTGGTGATTTTCATCACCGTCTTTGTGGCGTTCATGTTCGGGATGTTCAACCTGTACTCGTACTACCTCGGGGTCAAGCACAGTACCTAATTATGTGGCCCATGACTGCACACCCGCTGCACGACGCTTTCACCACGTGAGTTGCTGTTCGGACCGCATTCATGCTGCATTTCCGATCGGATTCAATTCTACACAAAACCTGTATTGAAAAGAGACTGAAAACAAAATAGTTTCTCTCTGATGAACTTCCGGAGGGAAGACATTTATTTCTTCAAAATTAGTTGTCGTTGTGTAAGAACTAGCTAGTGCTCCACTCGCAGACGTAAAACGTTTTGATAGCCTTGCTAGCAGTGTGAACTGAGTGACAAATGCTAACATAGCTAACTGTAACGACTGCAATCTGTGTTTTTCCAGATTAGACAATGAATTTTTGACTGCCAGAAGCCGGTGGTTTTTAGGTTGTCACAAGACGCAACACATTCACCACGAATGATACTTGGGGCGACAACTATCAAATTTTAAATAAGGCCGCGGATAGGGAATGTTTTGCTTCGCCAAATGTTCTGCATTGTCTCCATTAATGCTGCTTGGTTTACATTCTTCCGTGTTGTAGATGTTTTTTTTTTTCTGCCTTCGAAATCCCAAAACCGATCGATAAATCAAGATCTCAGCTGCAGTTGACTTAAGTGCCGTAGCAAAGTATAGATTACTTTGTTTCTTCCCACCGATCTTCATCAAAGGCTGGAGGAAAGCTTCAAAACACTTTTCTGGGCCATCTTTGGCCTGTCAGAAGTGAAGTCGGTGGTGATCGATATCGACCACAAATTCATCGAGAACATCGGCTACATCCTGTACGGCGTCTACAACGTCATCATGGTGATCGTCTTGCTGAACATGCTCATCGCCATGTTCAATAGCTCCTATCAGGAGATTGAGGTACACTTTGCAAAAACTGGCATGTTAGGTTCATTGATGACTTTTCGATTGATCGTTGGTGCGAATGGGAGTGTGACCGGATCTTTGTCTATACGTGTCTATGTGGCCCTGAAAAAAATGGTTTTGTATCTTGTACAGGGTGACGCTGACGTGGAGTGGAAGTTCGCCCGAGCCAAATTGTGGTTTTCGTATTTCGATCAAGGCACTTCGCTGCCCGTCCCCTTCAACCTGCTCCCGAGTCTCAGCCCAATCGCTGCACTCTTGCGGGGACTCAAAGGATGTCTGTGGGAAGCAGCTCGAGGAAAAGTCAGAGAAAATATGCAGGGTGATGAAATGGAGCGAAACAAGGTGGGGAACATAAACCAGTCCGGGATTTCATTTTTTGAAACTTGGTTTTGTCGGCCTCAAGTTTCTTCTTCTGTTGTTTTGGGTCTTAGTTAAGTCAACAAGAAGACTCCGGAGTGGACGCATCTGCTTGTCCAACACCTTATCAAGTAAACAATCGATCAACTTACCCACCTATCCGCCTGCCCTACCTCAACTACCAGCTGCACCACCTTCCAACAATGCCTAGCTTCCTAAACAACTACAGTGCCCCCAGTAAACCTACCAACCGACCAATGTACTTACTGTATTATATTTATCCAGGAACTACTAATTAGCATCTACTGACCAACTACCTACCTACATCCTGCCTGACCTTGCTAACAGTATTTCACCGACTGTACCTACCTACGCCCACCTACTTAACCTACAACCTACTTAACTTCCCACAAAAGAAACCTATCTACTTATCCCTACCAACTACACCTATTGTACCTTCCCACATCTACTTAATGACCTACAACTACCTTCTTAAACACCTAGCTATAGTAAAGCTAGGAAGCTAGCTCCCTATCAGCCAAGCTAGCAGGCGCAGCGACTGTATTTTCTCTCTCCCAGGGCTAAAGGGAGGCTTGACCAATTCATGGGGGGCGGGGTTCTGATTAGGCTAAAGCACCCATTAGCCCCGGTGTAGTGTCAACCTTGCTAGCTCGCTCTTCTTCCCCCTACCAAGTACACTTAGCTACCTACACTTACTTGCCTACATCTACTGCAGTCTGCCAACCAACTTCACCTACCTACTGTACTTATCACTACAACCTACTCCTAGCAACTACACCTAGCTACTGCTATGACCTATTTAACCCCAACATTCTCACCCTTTATTCCGGGAAACTAATCAGTAATTTTTGTTGTTTGTCAGGTAAGAAGCTAAAACTTGCTGATATTTTATACATTTTGAAGCCTCCATATTTATTGTTCATATCAATTGACTAATTCCAAAATAAAAAATTTAAATGAAATATACCACCAGATACCAGTACGTGTATGTACAACAGTACGGCCGACGATGTTTTTCCAACTCCCCCCACAAGGTGGAATTTAATCACCATGTGTATTGGAAAGCAAGGTCAAAGGTTCCGAGGGATACACTGTCGTCATCATCAACTCTTCATTTCAGTGGTTTTACCTCGAAACACGGTGACATATCGTTCGGGATCAGCCTGTCATTTTGAAATTAGCCACCTCTGTTTCCAATTTCCAGAAGATCATGAACCGCCTCGTCAAGAGGCACATCCTGAAAGCGCAGCGGGACAAAGAAAACGACGGGGTGAATGAAGGTGATTGCGCACATACAAACACACACATACGCACACACACGCCGTGTTCTCGACGTCTCCGTTGCAAAACATCTTGTCCCCCAGGCGAACTGAACGAGATCAAGCGGGACATCTCCAGCCTCCGCTTCGAGTTGCTGGGGATGGGCAAGCGGGAAGTGAGGACCCTGGCCGAGCTTGCCAGACAGCTGAGGCAAATGACACAAGGACACCATGCGTCTCATTAGGTTGCATGCAAGGATACGTTCCATGTCAGGGCACACTCCTGTACATCTTGAATATGCTCTGTTTTGATTGTGATGCTGTCAGATAGGTTGTGGCTTGCAATGTTCTACTACGCCACTGTTTCCACATAATAATAAGGAAACAGCTAAATAGCAATATGCAACACGTCATTTCTAGAAATTTCTGCCTGGAATTTGCAAATAATCGCTTGGGCAACATTCCTAGAAAATCATAATGCCCCATCGCTGGCGAACTATTTTTAGAACAGGCCCGCGAGATACTCATGTGGTCCTTGCGGGGCTACCTGGTGCTCGTGGGCACCACATTGGTGACCCCTGCATTGAACCAATGTTTTTATTTGATTAAATGATGAGCTATTATTAGGGCGGCACGGTGATCCACTGGTGAACACGCCGGAGGGGCGAGGTTCGATTCAGGCTTTGGCCTTCCTGTGTGGTGGTTGCATGATCTCCCCGCGCCTGTGCGGGTTTTCTCCGGGTACTCCGCTTTCCTCCCACATTCCAAAAACATGCATGGCAGGTTAATGGAGCACTCGAAATCGTCCGTAGGTGGTGTTGTGAGCACGAATGGTCGTTTTTCTATGTGTGCCCTGCGATTGGCTGGCATCCCATTCAAGGTGTACCTCGCCTACTGCCCGAAGACGGCTGGGATAGGCTCCAGCACGCCCGCGACCCTCATGAGGATCAGCGGATTAGAAAATGGATGGATAATTATTATCCCAATAAAAATAATGAGACTTAAGTATTTCTTGATTCAAATAAACTATTCAACCTGTTTCGATTTTTTAAAAAAATGCAAATGTGGCCCTTGAGCACGAAAATGTATACTCCCTGGATTTAGGGTGTACTGTAGATGGGACATGCTGAAAGTCACAACAACGTTGAACGTGGCCTCCACATTGCGTCCATATCAGAGATAACCACACGATGGCGCTGTCGAACTCTGCCAATTTTGCCACATGACTTCTGATGTGGATTTCATAATCAGATTGTTTTGTTTCAATGGGGGCGCGTGGGGGTTAGAACAAGGATGTGGTTGTATCATGCTTGATAGCCTTTGCGATAAGAGAAATTGACCTGCTGTCAGGGGGCATAAATGTAGGCCATTCTTCTTCAGATGGTGCCAATTCATATGTCATGTCGAGACACCTTACACATGAGGCAGGTCTTTAGGCATGAAAAGAGAATCCAACTGAAAACTCACCGAAGGATCCCGTTTTTGAGTTCAGGGCAAGTCAAGTGAAGAACTCGCATTTAGGTTCAGAGCATGTTGTCAAGCTCAAATAATGCCGTTTTAATATAAAGGGATGGACCATAAAACTAGATTTTTTTTTTTTTTTGGTCAAACGACAAGTTGTGCAAAAAGTACAGAAACAATGACCGGTTGGACCTTCAACAGTTTACAGAAGGTCAAATGAAGTTCCCTTGGAAATGTTCCCTGCATTTTACGTGGATCGTAACATTTCCCAAAAACTTTGCTTTTGTGAGTTGAGTAGTTTCGCGAAGTCAAGTCAAAGTGTCATGACAGTGGCACAACAAGCAGACGTCGCCGAGTTTCTTGATCATGTAGCAAATCTGGATTGGCGCTGCCGCCGCACATCTGCAACACGTCGCACTGATACAAACATGACTGTTAATCTACAGTCACAATGTAGGCCACACAATGAACCCCCCCCTTCCCGAATACACACACACCAACCACTGATAGCGACATGGTTATGACGCAGGAGATAGGGCCAAGGCCTACGTGTGCATCACTGCCGAAAGCAACGGTAGCATCCAAGAACTTCAATCAGACACCTAACAAAGCAACAAAAGACTACATGTGAATTCAGAGTTTTTGTAACACGTCCGTTTTATGCGTTGTCATAGCTTACATGAGCAAAAATGGTGTTGCTTTTGGTATTTTTTTTGGGCAAAGTCTCAGCACATTTTATCATTGTTTTGATTGAATTGTTCTGGGATTCTGCTTGTTTGGTTGCATACGGTTTTACAGAATCATCAACAAACAAAAAAATAATAATGGGCAGATGCCAATGTGGGATACATATTTCTACTTCAGTTCACCAATGAGGTCATCCAAAGGGAATTTCCTCACACGGCAGGTTTAACAGTCTTGTTATGCTGAAGGTCAAATTGACCAGTTTTTAAAAGTTTGGAATTTGATTTCATTCTTTTTATGGAAAAAAAAAAACAAAGTGATTCTCAAAGTGTGTTAAGATTACCGCACGTGGTACTCGGCTTTGATCTAGCGGCATGTGAGAATCACTCAATTCAATATTGAAATTGCATAATATTATTTTCTATGTCAATTTTTAATCCAGTGCAGTACATTTGTTAAGTATAGTTCAGTTGTATTTCACTTTGATGTGCAATACATTTGAATTGTATTATTACAGTTCTTAAGTGGTCCCCCCATCACCACCCCCCCCATTTTTCCCTACATTTAGACGCAGTGCATGATCTGACGGGGATTTTAATTTAAACCCAATTTTTGTTCCCCTAAAATTGTACATTCATACCCCATGATACTTCATGACATAAAACTCGTTGATTTTAATTCCGGAAATTGTCCAGTTTCGTTCACTGAACAGTGCTCAATGTCTTCAATTCTGTTGACGCTTTTAATTGTGCTTTTGGTTGTGTGAAGTACATTGAGTAATCTTGAGTGTTGAAATGTGCTATACAGTATCAATAAAGTTGCCCACTTTGCCCGTAATTAGCATAATTCCCATTTTCAAGGTATTTTTGTCTCACAATATTGTCAAAATATCAATAAATGACATCAATGTGCATTCTGAAAAATCGCTTTTGTCATTAACTTCAGTGTAGATTGTCAGTCACGCGGGATATGGTCACCACAAGGTTGTTGTTCGTTTTGATTTTTTTTTCTTTTGCAAAAACTTTCAAAAATGACGGAGGCAATGATGCGATCAAAATGTGTGTACTGCATTTGAACTGGTGTATGCTTAAGTATCTAAGAATCATCTGCCACCCCTCGCGTACTTAATAGGAGCTCCTCTTGCCTAAAATTGAATACACGCCGCAAAACAGATTCTATGGGACGTCATCTCAGAAGACGGTGGCGAATAAAACGTTGTGACGTGAAATGATTGCCTATATGTCATTGAGTGACAGTCAGTATGGTTTGGGGGGGGGGGGCTCTGAGTAGAGTGATCACAGGAAACTCCCTCGAGCCTTCAGCTCCTTCACTCTCCGTCCTGCCCGCGAGTCGCACGGGACTCGCGTTATCTCCCTTTTACGCACACCGACATGGAGAAAGTCCACGGCGGGATGCTCGAATCCGTGGGTGACATCATCGACTTCAACGACATGAAGCTCCCCGGCGGCGATGGTTACGCGGCGGCCGGCGTGCCGACGAGCCAGGGCGACGGCTCGGTGTTCAGAGACTGCGCCAACCTGTTGGACGCCCCGCAAGAGGAGCACCAGCAGCGGGAGGAGGAAAGGGAGACTCCGTACGAGCGCGGAAGTGACTTTTTAAGATGGGAGCATTTCGTCAAAGACAACGTGGCGCAGGTCGGTTCGAGTATGTCGTCTAAGTTCATCAAGGACGAGCAAGAAGCGTCCGTCATCATGGAGGCGCCGTGCCCGGCCTTCGAGGAGCTCGACGGCTGCTCCCAAGGCGGCCGCAAGCAGCCCCACTTCGGCTTCGGAGAGCCCGAGTGCGCGCGCTTCGCGCCGGTGGGTCCCCGGCCGGCGCAGGAGGCTTCGCCCAACTTCCTGGTGCACGCGAACCCCGCCGAGCAGATGGCCCAGCAGGGCCAGGCGAGGGCCGACTCCCGCGGAGGCTTCGCCGGCAAGGGCGCCGCGCTCCACTTGGACGCCAGCGCGCCCTCGCCGGCTCACCTGACCGTGTACAAGAGCGAGGTGGCCCGCTGGCAGGTGCCCGCAGTCGGCCCGGGGGAGGCGCAATTCTGGTGCCAACCGGCCGGGGTGACGGAGGACCCGTTCGGCTACAATGGGATGCACAGCCAGGCCGTGGCCCAGCGGAACCAGACGCCTTTCAACGCCTTTGCCGGGTAAATTGGAACCTCCGCACACCCCACGGGCCACAGGTGTCACTGTCATTTTTTTGGTGGTTTTTAGGCTTTAGACGATCGGGAATTTGGAGACGATCACAGATCACAGTTTCATAAAGCAATTCATTCAAACTATTTACACAATTGGGAGGATTGGGAATGAAAATGATTCAATAATTTCCTGATCCCCAGAGGGGGAATCTATGTGTTATACCCGGCATTTTGCCGATTGGCAGGGATTTTTTTAAGGGTCCAAAAGTTATTTTTTTTTCTTGCTACAAGTTCACTGTTCAGCTAAACTTTAGAATTGCAGCTGTTTTTATAAAACAACCACATAGTTTTGCCTTAAAAGAATTGCTTATCTTAACCCCCCAAAAAAATGTAAAATGCTGTGTTAAAACTCCAAGTAATGGATATTAGAAAATCAATCGGTGCCGCAACACATATAGACCGACGATATAACAATAGCCACAGGCATATATTCCTTCCCCTCTGCGAAAAACAACTAATGAGTAGTTGTGATTGTTACTATGCATTATACCGCTCCCAAATGGTAAACCACATTAATATAGAGTACTGTTTTCCTGATTCAAATATATTTTTGGGGATGGGGCTGGAACAGATTCATGACATTTGCATTCATTTCAACGGGAAAACATGATTTGTGATGAGTGTTTTGGGTTACAAGCATGATTATGGCACAAATTAAACACGTAGTTCAAGGCAACATCGTTTGCGACGCCAGCCCTGGAATGTTTCTAACATGCCATGTAATTCATTCTAATTCACACAATCACACACACACACACACACACACACACACACACACACACCATAAAATATAAAAGAATAAAGCTGTCAACAAGCCATCTGACAAGAGAAAATGTCTTTCATAAAATGGCATTAATATTGAGTAAGTTACCGACTTCAGTGACATCATCT